GTAAGATCTGTAGGGATTGGTAGACATCTGTAGTAATGAGGGACATTGATTAAATTTTAAAAACACATTGAACAGTCATTACCAGCATTGATGTATACAGATGATATAGTAATAATAGCTGACAGTAAGTAAGATTTGTAGAGATTGGTAGACATCTGTAGTAATGAGGGACATTGGTTAAATTTGAAGTTCAGCAGGTAAAAATTGGCAATCATGATTTTTATTGATGACCAAGGCAGTGAGCATTAGACAAGGAAGTCACACTAGAAACAGTGGATAAATACGAACGTTTGGGCGCATGGATAAATAAGGGGGCTGAGTACCTAAGAGAGCACGAAAGATACGCAATGACTAAGCGTAACAGGAATGCAGCTGTAATGAAAAACAGGCCACTGCGAAACGTCATACAATAGGTATGACGTTCTGAGAAGAATTTGGAAACGCCCCACCGCGGTGGTCTAGTGGCTAAGGTACTCGGCTGCTGACTCGCAGGTCGCGGGATCGAATTCCGGATGCGGCGGCTGCATTTCCGATGGAGGCGGAAATGTAGGCCCATGTGCCTCAGACTTGGGTGCACGTTAAAGAACTCCAGGTGGTCGAAATTTCCGGAGCCCTCCACTACGGCGTCTCTCATAATCATATGGTGGTTTTGGGACGTTAAACTCCACATATTATCATCCGGCATTCGGAAAGGTGTCATGGTCTCGGGTTTGACGTTCGGCAATGCGGTCTTGTGCATAAAATCAGAGGTGCAAGCAAGATTGGAAATTAAACAACGTGGCATAGGTAGACTTGCATTGGGAGCAGGTGGGTATACCCCAAATTAGGGGGTACAGGGTGACATAGGATGGACATCGTTTGAGTGCAGGAAAGCTAGCAGCAAGATAAAATTTGAGGAGCGATTGAGAAAAATGTGAGAGGAGCGTTGGGTTAGAAATGTTTTCAGCTACTTGTACATGAATAATGTTGGGACTAAATAGAGGAAGCGATTTGGAAAATTGTCAAGGAAGTATATAGACAACAGCAGAACACCAAGCCAAAAAAAAAAATATTGGTAAAGAAGATGCTGAAGAAAACAGAAGGGCACATGTGGAAGATTGGAATGCTTACAAAATCATCACTGGAGACCTACCGAACTTTCAAGCAGGAAAAAAAGAAAAGATATACGATAGTCCTCGAAGTAGTCTGCTGTTCGAGGCCAGAACGGGAGTGTTGCGGACCAAGACGTACTGAGTTAAATGCGAAGGCAGAGACACGGTATGTAGCATGTGTTGAGGGGAGGAGGAAACGACTGAACATTTCTTAATGTGCTGTAAAACGCTCCGTCCTATAGTCCAAGATAATGGCGCTGAATTTTTCAAAGCAATGGGGTTTAGAGACAGTGACAGCAAAATAGACTTTAAAGGAGTAGAAATAACGAGGTGGAGGACTAACTGATTGGTGGCTACAATGAAGGCGCGAGCGAAACTGTATCCCTAAACACATAGTGATATTACTTAACATTATGGCTAGGTTGCGTGAGCCGCCGCCCGATCTAAAGAGCACAGCTGGATACATCCATCCATCCATTCATCCGATGCTCGCTCGACGATCTTTCAGGCGTTTTTAAGTAGGCATGCACCCGTGATTTGCATTGTTGTTTTAATGTTTAGAATATAACAAGAACTCCGTTGGATGTTGCAACAATTTCAAGAAGGCTGTAAATAAAAACAAAAACTACACTGGCATTATGGCAACCATCAATCAAAGTATATAACGAAATAAGGTTTAAGAGCAAGCTAATATTTGACATAATTATTTATGAACAATACAAACCTGTTACAAGCCCAGGCTCGTTGTACTAGCCGTTGACTTCATCTTACACATTATGGACTTCAGAACTTAGCCTTGTCATCGACTCTCACTATCCACTATCAAGGCGTACAGAAAACTGTCATTTGTGTGTGTGAATAACAAAAATTTAGGGACCCTAAAACTTCGTCTTTATTAGTTTAAGGCGAGGGCGATCTTCCTTTTCTCGTACGCACCACAAACGCTCAGTGCATGAAGCATTTTCGAACCTTCTATGCACCAACTTCGTGGCGTTAAAACAAACAGGCGCAGTAGCGTGATAATATATGATAGCGCAGACAAGGAAAAATAATAAAAAAGCACGTTCAGTTTATTACTCGCAGATCCCGCCAGTATATGTACCTCGCAACGTCCTACGTCACTAGTGCACAGTTCTTACAGCCATAAATTGCAACCTGCGCACGCATATCTGCACATGACAGCACTGTTTCGCACGTATTTTTCTTTCTAGTGTGTAACCAAAGAATCTGTTTATTGCGAATACATGTATTTGAGGTCCTTGTTTGTCATTGTCACTGATGGAATGCTTACACAAGCGTCCCCAAAAGCTTTAATTATGACATCCTTCATTATGAACCGTGCAATCTCGTACTTACTTTTCCTGTTGATAACGTTTTCTGTAAATCTGGGTGTTCACTTATGTCTATGACATTAAGGAGAGAAAACCGTCAGAAGGCTTGATTGATTGATTGATTGATTGATTGATTGATATGTGGTGTTTAATTTCCCCAAACCACCATATGATTATGAGAGACGCCTAAGTGGAGGGCTCCATAAATTTGGACGACTTGGGGTTCTTTAACGTGCCACCAAATGTGAGCACACTAATCTACAGCGATTCCGCCTCCATCGAAAATGCAGCCGCCGCAGCAGGTATTAGATCCCGTGACCTGCGAGTCAGTAGCCGAGTTCCTTAGCCTCTAGACCACCACGGCGGGGCAAACCGTCAGGAGCAACGTTATTGACTTTGTTATTGTGATCGCGCAAGAAATCATTCATGCATCTACTGGTCTGCTCGATATGGAACTTCCCACCAGTAAGTAGAATTAGTTAGACAACACATATGATTCATTTCTATGCTTCTTTTTGCATACCTTCTCTCTCATGTTGTCTTGTCGTGTGCTTCTCCATAGGCTCACCAATTATAGGGTGCTGAAAAAACATTTTCCCCTTATCTTGTTGATTCTGTGAGAGAATTCACGTATGTATGGGATGATGGCAAAGCTTTTCCTGCTTGAGCTCGCTTTGTTTGCCTCCTTGCACCCTTTCTCCAGCACCTGCTAGTGCTCGTCGCATGCGTGGGCGTAATGGCGATGGCTAGACTTTAAGAGAGAGTGGCCCTCCCTGGTAAAAAGCCCACTTTTCTGGACTGTTGGCAGCGTTTTCTCGTTCCAGGTAGATGTAGACTTACGGCTCACACCCACCACGGGGGATCGGCCCCGGTGTTCTGTGGTGTTTGGTGCAGTGTGGACAGCCTGCACGGAGAGGAAAGGCTGCGGCAAAGATACCTCGATGACGCACTTTCAGATGCGATAGCATCAGCTTCTGCTGAAAACTTCCACATTGGTAAGCTTCGGACAACTCTAGACAAGCGCCGACAGTGAAAACGGGAGAGAGCTCACATTCACCGGGCCGATGGTGCAAACTGGGCACTAAAACAGGCCCGGGTGGCTGAGTGTCGGCAGCAACTGCGTACGAATGATTAGGCAGCCTTCCAAGGCGCACTAAATTGTGGACGGCAATGCAAGCGCTGGTGGCGGTGGATCCTGCAAACCACGTTGCCTAGTTAGCTCGCGACGCCAAGCGCTTGCAAGAACGCTGCTCCGAACAAGCGGGGTTGCGGCGTCAACGTGATGATTGTGGGAGCACTTTCGCCAGGGTGAATGCCCTCTTTCGGCGAAAGTTTCGCCAGCGGCACTTTGTCTGAGGCTGCAATGTCTGTCACCGCCTTATGTTCGAGAACAACTACTGTGAATAACGCATTGCGAAACGCAGTCAAGTGCTCATTAAACTCCTCCTTGACCGTGATTACACGATGTTCGGTATAAGAAATAAATACTGCGGTAAAACCAATGCAAGCTCGTTAAGGAGCATGAACACGCAACCCATGATTGTGAAAGGCTTCAGTGCAACGCCGTGTTGGAAGGAATGCTGAACACCGGGGCCATACGTTTGAGCTTTCACTGGCTAACCTTTTGTACGAAATGCTTTGGCGGTTATCTTTTTGCTACATGTCATAATCTCGCACAACACATAATAAGAGACCCTTATTTGACGAAGTTTCGCATGTAACATAAGAAATTTACTACAGCTCTTTTTTAGAGCTGTTACTTTGCAACATTCAAAGGTGGGTAAACGAATCACATGCATTATGTGTTGGCATGTCAACGTATCATTGTCTTCATTTCTAATTTATTTGGTATTAGTGCTCAAGTGAATTATATATGCCAACAAATACATACCGAAAGTAGTTATGGTGTGTAGGCCCGTGTGCTCAGATTTGGGTGCACGTTAAAGAACCCCAGGTGGTCGAAATTTCCGGAGCCCTCCACTACGGCGTCTCTCATAATCATATGGTGGTTTTAGGATGTTAAACCCCACAAATCAATCAATCAAGTAGTTATGGTGACCGGTACATGTCTGCGTCAGAGAAACACGAGTGAATTTACTTTACGGGAGCAATGTCAATGAAGCATGCGGGATTTGAAGAACATTTCATGGACATTTCTGATCTACGTCATATTAACGTGTGCTGTGAATGAAACCTTTTTTGGACGTGGGGCACAATGCGAGACCGAAGTGCATCTTCGGTCACCGTCCAGCTGATGCTTTAGTCGTAGCTTTCAGGCGCACTCTATTGGTGACGTCTAGGATCAGGAGCCAGAAATTCAATGTGAGGTTTACTTCGTATCCCATTCCAGTACTTCATTTTTTGGCCTTTCGCCTCTCGTATTTTTCCCACTCCCCTTATCAGTCTTTTGTTCTTTTTGTTGAGCTACATAAGTTGCCATGTATTGCGAATATGCCCAAGCATACGATGTTCCTTCTTAAGCACTTTCGTGCTTACGAAAGCAAATATTAAATCATTAGATGTGCTAATGCCTATACATTTCTGCTGTGGGATTAATGCGAGTCAATTCGCATCGCAGGATGTGTCAGAGGACTTTCACGTGGACACATCGGCTCACGATGACCTGGCCTTGGGTGGTCCTGGAAGTTTCACCGTCGCTCCAGCTACTTCTACGGATCACATAACGACAGAGATGAACGAAAAGCCTGCAACGACCACTGTGCTTCCCTCGTCCGAAGAGGCGCTCGACCCTTTGCCGGGCAGGGTGAGTTGGTCTACCGCAACATTTGTACCAGGATCATAAGCGCACGCTACGCAGTGAACTGCTTATGATGGATATAATTTTTTTCAGTTCAGCAAACACTTCCTCTGCAGGCTGTCGTACCCTAGCTTTCGTAATCCGTTTTAGTACCTCACGACAGCCACCACTACCAATGGAATCATCGTTTATTAGTATAAAGCATTTCAGCAAGCCACTCAGGGGGCTATGGACTTGTGCACCATCGTGACGTGCGACGTACACGCTCTGGGCTTATGCACGTCAGCCCTCTTCACCAGCTATGGCTGGGTGGGAAGGGTGATCAAGAGAATTGGCTCATGATCACATTCATTAAAATGATGAGATGATGGTGTCCGTCAACGCAGCGCTGTAATTATTCTTTTGGGCTCCCCATGCAGGGCCTCAAATTTGTAATACGGCCACTCATTAGATGCGTCATCTTAGATGTCCCGCCTTGTGCTAAGTACCGATAATAAAATCAATTTCCTGACTTCGATGTTTTCTAAAAATAGCCCGAGAAAATGTCACATTACTTAATTCACAGCTAATTCATAAGTGAAGAAAAAATGTGCGAAGCGCCGTAGCTATAAGTTATCAAGAAGTTGCCCAAACAATGATACATTTGTAGTGAGAAAAAGGAAGACGACGAGTTGCTGCCGTAGTTGCTGGGTGCGCGATATACTTTTGGCTTTCGATCCAGATGTTCTTTATAGCAGGCCCATAGAGATCTTGAAAGTCGCATAAAGTTAGCTAAGCGTGAAGGAAAACATGCGGCGGTTGCCACTCTTAATACTGCGAAAGCACATGACAGCGTTGAGCGTATGGTGTTAAGGAACCGTCTACACAACCTTAGCTTTCAAATTTCATAGAATCGTGTATTGCGGAGTTTTCGCACAATAAAACGTTTTAGTGTTTCCAAAGTGGCATTTCGTCTTGTAGATATCTCCAAACAAAAGGTCTGCTCGAGGGGGCAGTCTTTTTGCTGGTGTAGATTAGTATTTTGATGAGCTCTATTTAACCGCCTCAGGACTTCCACACATGTTTATGTGGACGACATTCTATTAGGGGTGAAGGTCCTTAAGGCGTGAGTCCGTACTACATCCTCTGGTGTATATAGTTGTTGTAATAGTAGGCAGCCACTTTTCAGTATTCACTAGATGGCGGTAGTTGATACCAGATGTTATATAACAAGATGGCGGTACTTGGAGTGTTCACTAGATGGCGGTACTTGTAGTTGATGAATTGATGCGAGATGCCATAAAACTAGAGGGCGGTGCCTGTAGTTGATAATGAAAGATGCGAGATGTTATAGTAAGAATGATTTCATATATGGCGCGTGTCATTGGTAGCAGGCAATTGTTCCATTTAGTGCGGGGATGCACGCTATGGGGAGCGTTGTATAAAATTCGTTCGCTGTTGGCACGCCGTGAAGCTGCGCGACACCGCTACCACGATAATTCGGTACGAAACCGGGATTTTCAATATGAAAAATTGATGCCGCTCTGCTTTTTAGAAGCTATATTAAGGGATTAACTGGTACATACGCCAATACATAAAGTTATAGCGTTGGACGCACAAAGTGAAGAAAAAATGCTCCTGTCCCCCGAAAGGAATCGCGAGGAAATGCGAATGCATTTCTTGCGCCGAGAGAGGGTACCATTGCCGTCAAACATTCGCCCTTCCCGACCTCTGTCATCGCCTTGAGAGGCGACCAGCGAGTGAACGGTCGAGAGTGAGTAGCGAGCAAATGGCAGAGTGGGGCACCGGCGTTCTCATCTCGGCGTTCCCGGCTCGGCGCGACAGTGGCGTCTCGAGCATACATTTACGCATGTTCTTGAAAAGCGTCCAGCCAGCGAATGGTCGAGATTGGTAGTGGTAGTGGTTAAAAGAGGACGAAGGCGCTAAATTTCTGCAGCCCGGTAGGCAGCATGGCACAGCCTCTGCTCGGAAGGGGAATGTGAGAAAAGTGAATACAAGAGAAAAAAAGTTAGGCAAGCAGTGGCGCAGATGTCTTCAGTACGAACAGCTGTCCGGCAGCAAGGATAGGGGTGGCAAGGGCCCCGTTCTCAGCGGTAGGATTGAGAGTGAGGCGCGAGCGGATGGGAGATTGGGGCGCAGGGTTGAGAGAAAGAGCGAACGGAAATAGGAGTGGCGAAGCACTGCACCTACTCTCTCTTCACTCTCTCGCACCACATGCTCCAGTTGCTATGGGCGAAGATAAACGTGCGCGCCCGCAGCTGTTGCAATGGGAGAGAGAGTGACAGCGGAGAGATAACAGCTGTCGGCACGCGGACACCGCCGCGGACAACGTCGGATGCGTCACACAGCCCGACTAAGAAATGCATTTGCATTTTAAACGTGGAAGTTGTATTTTTTCCCCTGCCCTAGATTTGTCCTTTTCACTTCGTCTTCCTGATTTGTGCCCATTTTTCAAACAGACTTTTTGCGATAATTATAGCTCTCCGTAAAGTAACGACAGCAGTACGTTCGGCAGTAATTTTGACGCATTCACTATCAGTAGGTGCCTCCCCTACTGCAAATGAGAACTCGCATTCTCTGAGTTCTTTGAAAGCATTAGATTACCAGAATATCAATTTGATGAAATTAGTCTGGGTTACAAGTTAAAGGCCTATTTATGAATGAAGTGGGAGATGCGCTGGTAACTCATCTTCAAATGAGCCTGTTATTTAGGTATTACCGGCGTCGAAGTTCTTCAGAGGCGTTCGATTAAGAAGAAAACTGCTGTTACACGAATTTTCATGCAACTTCATTAACGGCTACATGAGAATTCAAGCACTTTTTGTATCATTGGAATAATAATAAAAAAATGTCAAACTCGGGCAAAGGAAATCGCGATCACTAGACTGCGTTGTCGAATTCTGCAGCTAACTTTATATTTACACAGAGCTGGTCCGGCAGCCTCCCCTCAATGTTAATTTTGCGGAATAAATGAGTCAACTGACCATTACCTCATTGTCTATAATAGGTGCTTTGCCTTACGGACAAAAAAAACACTTCAGGTGCCATTTGCCGCTCCCTCGAAATAGACTTAAATGCGGAAAATGTACTTTCTTTAGGGGCTTAAGGAAGACAGAGTAACGTGTGTGCATTTTGTAATGGGCGGCCGGCTTTGAATCATGAGGTTGTTATTGTTATCATTTGTTCTGTCACCCGATGGCAATGCACGTTTGTACCACGTAATATCACTGTGATCTTACATCTTTTGTTGTAAAGACTGTATACTTGACGCGTGTGTTGATAAAGCATGAATGTTTTTTTCACTGGATTTCCTAGCAGAAGCTATTTGCACTGTATTTTCAAGCAGACGTGTGGCTGTAGGGTAGAACACCCGCCTGAACCACAAACGGCATAGGTTCAATCCTAGTTCGGGCCGAAACTTTTTATTCATTATATTTGCGTCTTTATAAATTTTCTATTTTCGGAAAAGATGGTTTCTTGCTCACAAGCAACGTCGCTGACACCAAAGCTGCCATTTCCGCAAAACGAGTCTTTAACACTATTGTCCACAAGCACAAACACATTATTCTAGCCGGTGTCTGAAATATACATTATCGACCCTAGAACGGAGCTTTGTAGTTGTCTATTTATGTCATCTTACGTCACTCAACGCCACTCAATTTAAAACATAGGAACAATGCTGGGGTAACATATGTGAGACAAAAGTTGAACGATAGATGATATCAGTGACAGTTGTGACAGAACAATGTGAAGTACCTACAATCACAAACGCTTTATACTAGTCGGTGGCTTCAAAGTAGACATTATGGACCTGAGGACGTATTTTCGCCCACTTGTCCGTGTTCACTTTGTAGAGAGGCGTGGCTTCTTTTTATACAAATGGGTGTAGGAAAAGTGCCTTGACGTTTTGGTCGCATTTTGGCATTATTCCAAAGTTCCCTCGATTTAAACCAAGTTATCAATATCCAATGACATGGCAGTGCGAACGCGATGTCAAAACACGAGGTCAATGCGTGTTTAAAACACCAAAAACGGAATTTCGAATAGGTAGTACTCAAATGAAGATGCTTTTGAATAGGTGGCTGAATATCGAGAACAGATGTCACCTGGCGGTACATCCAGACTGCACAATATAGGACGCTTTCAAACAATATTTGGAAGTGAACAACACAATCGAAAACCCTCCTTACCCGTGTCGCTCTGCGCTCATTGACATTAGCAAATGCATGCGCGACGAATGATGTGTGGATTCTTTGAGTAAGAAAAAAAGAATGGCACTGAGTAACAGTAAAGCAGGGATTTAGGCTACTTGGTGCTTCCTTGAACACATATAACAGACCTGCACAGGAAAACAAAAAGAATGTGAAGCAAGGTGAAAGGTAAGTTCATGAAAGGTGTGAGAAACAGAGCTGAGGGTGAAGAGGAGAGGCAGAGGGAGCGCTATATAGAGATAAATAATAAAAATGAAAGCAGAAGATTGAAAAAAGAAATCTGCTACGAAACATCAAACAATTAAAGCGGCATTCACCAGGTGGGGGCGCTTGCTTGCCAGCTAGGCTGTTTACTCAGGTTTCACTGTCGTGGAAGTAGCCTTAAATTTTTTTAGGGAAAATGGCTTACGTAAGAAAGAACCAGTTAAGCGTAGCTACAATGTGAATCTGTTTTCGTCAGGTGTCTGTGTAGATTCTCCTGAAGAATTAGTCCAAAAAGTTTCAGTACGTTCAGTGCACTTGTCTGTCGTGTGGCTTCACAAAAACCAACAGTGTGGCCTCGCTAAACAGCTGTGCTCATTGATGACGCATAAAATGATTTAAAAAAAAGGTTATGTATTAAATTTTGCATCTTTGTCGTGGGAAGTACTCCAAGGCAATAAATTTGTTTGCATCCACAACTTGGCATCGCAGGACGTAGAGTTGACTTACCACAAACTCATTACGGGCTGGATAAGAGTAAATGTAAGGAGTAAATGCGGTGGATGAGGTGGCTCGGTGATTTTGGCAATTCGT